CTTCCCCCCCCCGGTGTGGGCTTGGGAAAGAATTCCCAGGAGTTTTTCCCGGGGGGGGGGCCCGTTGGCGGCAAAATTCCCTTGGAGGGGGGGCACCCCTTTGCGCCAGGGCCCCCCCCCCACGCACGCCGCCAGGGTAGCCGCCACTCCTTTCGCCCCCGGTTTTTTCAGGCCCGGGTCCCTCGCCACTTTCATGAGTTCCATCGCTCGTTCGCCCATGCTGCCCCCTTGGGGGAGAGCGCAGGCGCAAGCTTGGGGGGGGGGGGAGAAGCTTTCCGTTTCCGGTGAGACGCCCGGGGTTTGCATTTCCTGAAAGGTGGAGAGGGCCCCCAGGTGTGGGCGTCCCTGAGGGGGGGGGGGGGTACTCGTGTGTAAACGCATGCCGTCGTCGGTGGATCATAGACCTCGCATCTCTACAACGAAGCGATTTTCCGGGGGTCCGCCGGTCCAGGCTACCTTTCACAACAATGAACCAGGAAGCTGTGTGTGTGGGGGGGGCGTCCATGGTAAGGTTGCCGCAGCGCTTCATGGGCATGGATGGACAGTCGTTGAATCTGTCGGTTCACCGGTAAAGCGATGCTGTGCATACAGCAGTGCCGGCTGCGGTAAAAAGATGCAAGAGAGTCATGCCGGCTACGATAATAAGAGAATCGATGCAAGAAGTCAAAATTGCTTGTCAAAGCCACGAGAAACACGCATATCACACGTTGTCACGTCTAAGGATAAAAGACTATTTCGGCTTGCCAAACCCTCTCCTATCTCGTACGCGGAACTCCACCTCATTTCACGCGGAAACCCCCCCTTGTTTCACGAAGAAACCGATCTCATTACACGCCGAGAGCTCACCTCGTTGCACGCTGCCATGGCCGTGTTGTACGAGACCACGTCCGGGGACACCTCGTATTCCTCCCGCATCTCGGCGAGCAACACCAGCAGCCGCTCACACTCCCCCGCGCTAGCCATGCCGTGCATGATGGAGTTGAACGTGAAGACGTCGGGACCGGCGCCCGTTCCGAGGACCGGTACCGAGCGGCGCATCTCGTCCGCGAGGGACAGGGCCGTCTCCCACTCGCCGCTCTGGGCGCACGCGTTTATCGCCGCGTTGTAGCAGATCCTGCCGAAGAAAACAAGAACGAAACAAGAAATGCGGGAGAACATCGGTCAAGCCGCCCGACACCTCGCAGGTTCTAACGAAAGGGGCGCGAGAGAGACACTTTTATCGCCACGTTGTAAATAGCAGATCCTGCCCAACAAAAAGAAGAGGACACAACAAATGCGGGAGAACATCGGTCACGCCGCCCGACATACCGAAGGGGCGCAAGAGATGGTACGCAGTCGTACATCAGAAAAGAACTACGCGCGTATCGCCGTGTTATTCAGGCGGTCTCATTTCCCAGCTGCCCTGCCCTGAACAGGTATGATCTTGAAGGACACTTCCCCGTGGCATGTTTTTCAGAAACGACTACACCCCCCTCCCATCCGTGTATGGGCAAGAGTTTTGTTTGTTGCTTCGTAGATCATTCACGCTGCCGGAAAACGATCTAGCGTATCTCCTCTTCATGGCATCATCAACCCCCCTCCCGGCCATCATCATCACCTGTCAGGCTCAACCCCAGCGTCCCCCATCTCCTGGAGGAGCCCCACCGCCCTCTCCCACTGCCCCCCCTTAGCGCAAGCGTCGACGGCGGCCCCGTAGCACACAACGTTCGGTTGCAGACCCTCCCCGGCCATCCGCCCCAGCAGGCCAAGCGCCCGCCTCCATTGCCCCGTCCTAGCCATCGCGCTTACGGCCGAGCCGTACGTGAAGTGGTCGGGCGACAGACCGGCCTCCCGCATCTCGTCCAGCAGGGACAGGGCCAGCTCCCAGTTCCTGCCGCGGGCGCAGGCGCTGACGGCCGCGGTGTAGCAGTACTTGTTGGGGGCGAGGCCCGCGGGGTCTTCCCTGGCCTCTTGCAGGAGCTCCACGGCCTCCGACCATCGCCCGCTCTTGGCCACCACGCTGATGATGCAACTGTTGTGTTGTTGTCGTCATCAGTGGTTGATGTTGTTCGTGAGTGGGATGATGCGACTACCGTTGTTGTTTGTTGTTTGTTGTTGTCGTTGTTGTTGTTCGTGAGTAGGATTATGCACCTGCTGTTGTTGTTTGTTGGGTGGTGGTTGTTGTTGTTCGTGAGTGGAATGATGCGACTACTCTTGTTGTTTGTTGTTTGTTGTTGTTGTTGTTCGTGAGCACCGTTGGGCGTGGTGTTGTTACAAGCGTTCTTGATGATGGTGACGGTCATTCGTTGTTGTGATGACGCAGTGTTGTTATAATCGCTTCGTTGTTGTTGTTCGTGAGTAGTTGGGTGTGGTGTTGCTACAAGCGTTCTTGTAGATGGTCGTGATGCTTTAGCTGTTGTGTTCATGTAAGTGTCATCGGTGGTTGTTGCTGCTGCTGTCGGGTGGTGGAGATATCGAACAATGTCTTGTTGTAGCTGTCTTCATAGTAGAACAACGTGTAGCGTTGCTACAAAACGACTAGAGGGTAGACGCGTGTAACAATGCTGGAGGTTGTAGATACCGAAACCGAACGTTTGGTGGTGCAATTCGCGGTTCATGGACGGCCTTCTTGACCGTCAGCTGATCGTACAACTTCTGCAGGAAAATCAAGCAACGCAACCACCACAGCAGCGGCATCGGTTCCTTATGCAATCGACAAAAAACAATTAGTGTGACTAAAGTAGGTGGCATAAGACACGACACCCCAAAAACCGGTTTTCAAATCCCGACTACTCTGCCGCAAGAACAGCGGCCGAAAATGGCGGCGTTGAAACCGTCTCGTCGAGAGGTTTCCGGAAAACGTACCATCGTTTGGCGTTGATACCCTCTTCGTCATGGAGTAATGGAACGTTACAATCCGGTCCACAGGGTGTTGTATCTTACGCGACCTGCGGGTGAAGGCCGGCCAAGTCCCATGGCACTATTATGAGGCCACTTTAGAAAGGGACCACTACAGCAGTAGACGTCCCTGTTTAGTGCCGGTTGAATAACGTAGGTGACATAAGATACCGCCCCCCCTGGACCGATTCTCGAAGCACCATGTCTCGCCAGGAAAAGCAGTGACGGTGCCGAAAATGGCGGCGTTGGAACCGTCTCGTCGAGATCTTCCTCCGAAAACGTATACTTCAGTTTCGGCGTCCTTTTCGTCGTGGAGTAATCGCACTTTGAAAATCAGTCAAGGGGGGGGGGGGGGGGGTGATATCTTACGTCATGCCACCTACCGGAGTGCCGGCGTTTTCAGCGGGCACAGCACACACTGATTCCCGCAAGTCATTCTCAATACTTTGAATAGTTAGTGCCGGTCTGTCGGGTGAATATTCTGGGCACATGCCGGCACTAAACACTGACCTCTGCCGTACGGCATGGCAAAAAAACCGCTTCACTCGATCGCACATCATTCAAATATGCAGCAGTATCGTCAGTAATATGCATATGTAGCTGTCGGTGTGAATATTTTGGGCACATGCCGGCACTAAGCACTGACCTCTACCGTACGGCATGGCAAAAAACAACTCGTCACTCGATCGCACATCATTCAAATATGCAGCAGTATCGTCAGTAATATGCATAGCTGTCGGTGTGAATATTCTGGGCACATGCCGGCACTAAACACTGACCTCTACCGTACGGCATGGCAAAAAACAACTCTTCACTCGATCGCACATCATTCAAATATGCTAATCTGTCTCTGACTCTTTTCTATGATAGAGATGGATTCGTTGTGTCATATTAAGAAAAAATAAATAAATATATATATATATGCAGCAGTATCGTCGGTAATATGCATAGCAGCAGCAGCAGCAGCAGCAGCAACAGGAAGAATGGCATATTGCAGGTACTAGGAAAAATAAATACACACACAGAAAGACTACCCATTCGAGATATACCCACAGTCGAACGGGACGTGGTGGAGTCTTTTCTGTGAGTGGAGGAAAACCGGCTGGGTACTGGACTTATTTCGAGGTACGTATCCAGAGGTCTACGCAACACCGACCAGAGAGCGTGAAGTACCGCGGGTAACACAAGATACCACACTCCCTACGCCGAAATTCAAAAAGCTTGAGTGCTCCACGACAAAAAAGATGCAACAAACAAACGGCACATTTTCGGAAACCTCTCGACCAGACGGCTTCAACGCCGCCATTTTCGACGCCATCACTCTTCGTTGCTGTGGAGCTGTGGAGTAATCGAGCTATAACATGAACAATTTCTCCAGGGGGTGTGATATCTTACGTCGTCTACAGTACTACGCCGTGATGCCCTCTGTTGCAGGAGGCTAAACACGGGACAAGTGGCGTTGAGTTAGCTTGCGTCTTGAGAGAACGTATTGCAGAGAAGGTGAGCGTACGGCAGCCGGCGGCAACCGCGTGGTGAAAACGCCGATTCTATATATATCTACTACTGCTGCAGCCATGGAGAGCCCTTTACGAGAGGGGGACATTGCAGCAGAGCATAGGATGGATGTTGGCGCGTCGACGTGCGTAAAATCTGTACCAGCAAAATCATGATCTACACACAGGTTCGGACCTAGCAACATGTTCTCCGGCCCATGTGCTGACGCAGCAATAATGATAGGGTAGCGAAGGTGCTGCTGTGTGTGGTATGCATTACCTTGGTTGGGCGAGTAGAAGCCAGGGTTGAAGGATGGGTGTGCCCGCATCACACCAAACAGCCCGCGACATGACATGAACACACATGCAACAACACAGTTTTTCTGCAGCTCGACCGACACTCTTTTCGCTCGCTGCTGACCTGTAAACGCTGTTATCCATGACCATGCCCCTGGCCCTGGCCCTCCGGAACACCTTCACCGCGCCTCTCCACTCGAACCTCCTGCCCATGTCCTTGAGCCGCAGCACCAGCTCAACCCTCTCCCTCGCGGCCTCCGACTCGCAACCTCTCGACGCGTCGAACACTCGCGGCGCATCCGGCGCGTTGTCTCGCGCGCTTGCGTCCAGCGCCCCCACAGGCCTTGGCCGTCTTCTGCCCGGCCTTGGTGGCTTCTGCTGGGGATTGCTGTGCTGATGGTGGTGCTGTTGTGCAGGGAATGGTGTCGGCGAGGAAGCAGCAGCGGCGCTACCAAGTCTACATGCTACCACCTTGCTGCGCTCTGTCGCAGTGTTGCTCCTGCTGCAACCGCCACTGCTACAGCAGCTGCTGATTCTGCTGCCTCTTCCAAAGGAGGCATCGACCACGATCTTTGATGGCGGGCCTGGCGGCTGCCCAGGCAACGCGAAGGCTAGCATCGTGCGGCTGTGCTCGTGTTGTTGTGGGGCCGGAGCAGCAGCAGCCTCTTCGGGCGCAGGCAAGGGGTCTACGCGGTTCGGAATACCAATTGGGGGGGGGAGGCAGCCCATGATGAAAAAAATAACTATAGGGTTGCCCCCTCTCTCTGGTTGCTGGCTGTTGCAGTCGTCCACTAATTGTGCTCTCTTGACAGGGGGGCAAGAGAGAGAGAGAGAGAGAGAGAGAGAGAGAGAGAGAGAGAGAGAGAGAGAGAGAGAGAGAGAGGGGCTGGGGCCAAATAACGGCTCTCCAGCCATCAGCGAGAGGCTATTTATACAGAAGTATTTAGTTAAGTAGAGGGTAACGATGCACTCCTGTCCCATCAAAACCAAAGGCTAGAAGGGCTACACTCCCTACCGAGTAGAACAGGACAAGGAAGTGCGTCAGCTTGCCGTCTGGTTGTTGAAGCTCTGCTCTACTACTATGTGCTATGTGGTCATCACCTGCAGTCCGTAGTCTGGGAGGGAGACTACCTGTTGCATCTATCCACCAGTCAGAGCGGCATGACGCTCTCTCTCGTGCTCTTCTCGCGTGGTATGTATGTGCATGAAGACGAGAGAGGCAGAGAGCGAAAACAAACAAGCTTCGCACGTATCACCAGTGGAGAGGACAACATGGAGCGTAGAAAAACTGGGGTAAAAAAACAGCAAAGCCACTAGGAACTGCAGCCATTAGTCTAAGGGGCTTCAATGTTACGGACTGTTGCTGCTTTCGGACACCAACACGGAAAAGGTAAGGACGTAAGGACGCTTTCAGAAAGCAGCATAGCCGACCACCACAGCATCAACAGTTAACAGCCAGGTCGTACTGAAGGGCTCTCCCAAGCAGGTCATACATATCTCCGATATCTTCTCAATTGTAACCGGCTGGAGGACCCTGATACTTCCGTCACCAACTTCATGTTACCGCTGCGGAGCTCTTTCGGACTCCGGCTCTCCCGCTACCTTCGGGACCCAGATGTGCCACACAAGACTGCATTGTGACACCGAAACAGTGCGTTCTTGGGGAGGATTCCGCAGTTCTCAATCACTTGCCACAAAGCAGATGATACGTCCTACGTATTTCGGGCGTCTTCCTCCCCCTTGCTACTAGCCCTTTTGCAACAACAAAAACAGGGCGCACTGCCTGTTCTCGAGCTACTGCTGCAGTAGAGCAGCCAAGAACACTACAGAGTCTATCGAACTGCTGCATTCGCCTGGCATGACACGGCGTGAGTCCCGGTCGACGATGCCGGAATCCCAGCAGGGGCGAACCATGCGACATACGAAGCGCGTGTTGCGGAGTACAGCAGCGAGTGACCGCCACCCACTGCATCGAGAGTATAAGTCCGCACCCGGCACCGCAGACACTCTGCTGACACATACACAACGCGGAGAAAGCCGATTATAGCCTCCTCCCTCGACCCTCCCAGACCATAACCTTTAGAAGCGCCTTCTGTTTTCAGGCGCACCCAGGCCGGCGTCTTTTCATTGGTCAGTCGGTAGGGCGGTCGCTGCCACACACACAGAAACACGGCGCACACGCCACCTTCGTACGCGTTCGAACCTGGGTAGACTACTATTACTCCTGACACCATAGCGAGCGATCGATGCTGATGGCCTTTCTCTCGCGGAACATACGTCGCATACGATGACAACTCCCAGTTGACTGCGGAACATGCGGACCCCCCCCCCGTGCCCCACAATGACTGATGCAGTAAATTAGGAAATGTCGATGCTGATGATCTTCATCTCGCTGAAGGGCTTGTCGGTCTTGTCCACCTTGCTAGCTTCGATCGTCTGTGACGGCGTGTACAAACGGGGAAAGACATGGAAGGTGTTAGTCTGTTGAACGCCTCACTCATGAACTAGATATGCTAATTTCTAAATCACGCATCACCCTTTTCGAGACGCAGCACTGCTGCTCCTACCCCTCACAGAGACATCATCCCTTCCCGGAAACAGACACACTTTTCGATATCCGTAAGAAATATAGACACCTTTAGAAACTAATAGAGGATCTACCCCTATTGGAGACATCGCCAGCACCCCGCTGCTCCAGATAAGTGCGGCCGCGAACCACAAGCATCATCGATCCAAACGGCCTCGAACATGTGTACAGGCCACATATATGGTACAGCATTCTTGCGGCACCAGTCAAGAGGAGAAAATCTACAACACGTAATGTGGAACAAGTTAGAATCGAACAGAATCGGTACTGTACGGCACCAATCAACAGGCGAAACGCAAAAAACAAACCCGAAATAAAGGAAGAGGAATGATGTATATTAAATACACTCGTGGCTCCGATATAAGAATGCGGTGTGGCAAAGGCCCTCGACCCGCTTACATCGGAGCCCTCTCTAATACCGAAATAAGAGAGTACTTTATTATGCTATACAGCGGGTCGAGTCCGTGACAACTGATTTCGACCATTATAGACATACCTGGACCACATCCATCCCAGCGGTGACGCGGCCGAAGACGGTGTGCTTGTTATCCAGCCAGGGGGTGGGGACCGTTGTGATGAAGAACTGAGACCCGTTCGTGGCCGGCCCTACAAGCGAAAGAGGTGAAAGGGAGTAACGGGGAAAAAACCCAACGCCGTCATCATGGATAAAGATAGGAAGATAAACTTCGGTCATTGAAACCTGATCAGCATGCCTGTTTCTCGATTCTTGCTCTGTTGTCCACCATAAAAAAAATTTACGAGGTGTTCAAAATAATCAAGGGTAGGTGTTGGTAAAAAACGGCGGACGGAAGAGGGTGGGCTAACAATGTGAGGTGAATCGTGTAACAGACAGAATGAGGTGGTAATCGTGGATCGACCAAGTTAACGACAAGAGCAACAGACCGCAGAAGGCGATGGACATGACGGGCAGAATGAGGTGATCGACAGACCGAGAAAGGTGAACCATGTCACAGACCGAAAAGGTCAACCGTGTTACAGGCCGGTGGCGTCTTGGCCATTGGTGAGAGTGAGGTCGAGAAAATCAAGGAGAGTGTTGGATCGAACTGACTGACGTCCATGGTAATGGACAAACGTATCGAGTTGTCAAACTGGTCGTCGACAGCGATAGGGAAAAAAATCGTTCGAGCGTGCAATCAAGGTGATGCGCAAGCGATTTTCAGCCAGGCGGGAATCCAATGCTTGGAAGTACCACATGCCATCGCTGACCACGATACATGTAGTCAGGTTACAACACACGCACACACACGCACTCGCAATACCGCGTTTAATCTCGATTCACATTCTCAATGCTCACCCACTTTCTCGCCCGGAAATCCCAACCCACAATCTCAACACGTCCACTTTACAACATAAAATAGTAGACACCCGGGGTGAAGACCCGTTGGAGTCACACATGAAGCCGAACCTCACGGTTTGGGTGTACAGAACGGACTCAGTCACCATGGCTTCGAACAGTTACATGCTTGAAACACTTTCGACGAAGAATTAACGCAGGAAGTACCACGAAATTCCAACCCGTTTTCCCCTGCGTCCTTGACTCACCCCCGTTGGCCATGGAAAGGGTGAAGGGCCTATCGTGGCGAAGGTTTCTGTGGAATTCATCTTCGAACTCTCCTCCCCAGATAGACTCGCCGCCGGTACCATCGCCGAGCGGATCTCCCTGACAAACACCAAAAACAAGAGGGGGCGGTGTACGAGACAATTCATGTGCCTGAAAAATAAAAAAGTGCAAAGTTCGTGTTTCAGCCAGCGCTATCCCGAAAAAAGCAGTAGAGAAATATTGTCCGAAATTTTCCTCTTAGATCTAATGAAATAACAATACCAAGAGAAACGTTCATGTAACCGTGAAAAAAAACAACCAGAGATGCTTCAAGAAGCAATCCTGTGCCTGGAAAAAAGAGAAAACACCGGAGAATGCTCCAAGAAAAGTAGTGCATCTACTGCTGTACCTGATTTGTTTTTGACAACAACACCAAGGGGAAACAGTTCACGAAACAATGCATGTGCGTGGGCAACTTACGAAAACAACAATGAGAGATGTTACAAGCGACACACCGTGCGTCAACTCGAAAAAACACACACAAGATAAAAAGCACCAAATGTCTGCCTGACAAAAAAAACTTAAAATCAGCCAGAGCGTTTTTGCGTCAACAATCGCCATGGCCACGTTGATGTTCGAAAAATTGCAAAGCTTGTAGTCAGATCGATCGTGTAGGATACATGGACAGCACGCATGTGCAGCTGAACAGCAGTGGCGAGATGGGCATTGCGTGCGAAACGCGTCCCTTTGAAAGAACGGTAGATTCTGTTGGAAGAAAAACCAACAGGTTTCAATAGCCGCCCTGCTACCGTCGACAACCAAGAAAGCAAAAATGGAGACAAACGCGGGGTGATGGTGCATTGCCAAACGATGCCTGTTCATGAAAGCAAATCATGTTGTTCACTGGGCTGATGTTGCAGCTCAGCAGCTAACATTGAGTTGTGGGGTAGCAGTCATCACCTGAAAGGTAGGCAGAACCACCACAGGGTAACAACGTGCTCTACACATCAGTACAGGCCGTCTTTCCAATTGAAAATACTGTTCTTTTGTTTATTGTTCATCACCTTAATTCATCAGCGCTTATACACCACAGCATTTCTGCTGTGTAGGAGCTAGCTCCACTTCGTGGTCGCACAGGAGGGTTCCTCCCGCTGAGGCCGCTACATACAAACGATAATTTACGATCTATCCACACGATTACAATTGACAAGACAAGGCAAAGGTATTTCACTCTACATACCAGGTATCTAAATCTACAACACCAACATATTCGTACACAGAAAACCTCTACTGGTTGGTCACAAACACGCGTACCGTCCTCTTGCGAGCGACGCATGTTTCGCGAAAAAGAGAACGCTACATCATCGTCAAAAAGAGAATGAATCGCTACGAGATACGATAAAAACCGATGCTTACCGTCTGAACCATGAAGCCCTTGATGACTCGGTGGAAGATGACTCCGTCGTAATACCCGTTGCGAGAGTGAGTGCAGAAGTTCTCGATTGTCTGGAACCAAAACAATGCAGCAACAAACAACATCGACGAAGGGCGGACACGAAGCAGAGAAAAACAAACTGAGAGGACATCCATCGCCCTTACAAGCACCATTTGCAAGAACCCACGTCTGCGCCTCTTTCCGTTCGGGCCGACAGGACGGCCAACACATGAATCACTGATTTCGCGCATCTCGACTCAACAAAAAAAAAGAGCGTGTATCACTTGAATGAATAAATTATAACCATGAATAAACGGTACAAGTAAATAATCTTATGCATGCTCCGTATGAATTGGTCGCAAGTGCAACGCTGTTAATACTCATCCGATTTCTTCTTCGCGCGTGTGGATACTGTGCTGCTGATATCTTCTCTCTCGTGTGCATGTGTGGATACCTTAGGACACTCGTCCCAGAAGAAAAAGAAAGCTCACTATTAAAATAATAATAAAAGTAAAATTTCCAAGAAATTTTTGGAGGTTCGTAAGCTGTGCTTCGGTGGCCCGCCGTTACTTGCTTTTGACATTATCGGTTGTCTCTGGTGTGGACACGTGTACCTTCGGGCACTCGTCCGGGAATAGCTTGGTGCGTATGTCCCCCATGGACGTCCTGATGACCGCCTCTCTGCCCACCACGGTGTTGGTCTCGGCAACGACGTGCATCTGCAGGCGTATGGGCAACGAAGCAGTGGGGTGGGCGAAAAAATTAATTCGTCCGCTGGGTTGCCCTTGCTGTCATTTACTACTCCAGGACGCATTGCTTGTAGCATCACTGAATAGGTGTAGTGCGAACAACGTGCAACCGTCTCTCATGTTAAACCACGAGACCCCGCACCCCCTCCCCCGAAGGCTTTTCTTCGAACACGTCTCTGTCGTCAGCTCTTGTTGCCATCCCCTACCCCAAAAAGCGCTATTTGAAAGCGTCAGCAGCATATGCAATGCGTTTTGAAGGTACACAAGACGCTCGCCACGAATCTATTGTTGTCGGAGGAAAACAGCATCCGTGGAGAACAGGTTGAAACTCAGGTTTTCTACCACGGACACGTCAGTGAGCTTCACACATAAAGTCGTTGAAGCACCATTTTCATCTTCTTCGAAAATACTCAGATTGACACTACCGGTTGCTTGCACGGTTAGCAGACGACCTAACGGCTAACCGTACAAGCAACCGGTATCACCAACCAGAGATTTTTCCAAGAGTATGGGAATGGTGTTCAAACGACCCTGTGTGTGAAGCTCACAGGCGTGCTTGTCGTAGAAAACCTGAGTTCAACCTGTTGTCGGCCTTCGAAACGAGGCATCCCTGCATCTAGTGTGAACGTCGTGTAACCGCTTGTCACGCTTCTATTTGAACACGTTCATGTGCTTTCTGCCCTTGTTGCTACTACTACTACAATACGAACCGCTTGTCACGCTTCTATTTGAACACGTTCATGTGCTTTCTCTACTACAATACGCTTTGCTTACTCATCATTGCTACTTCAGCGCGAACGTTATGTACCGCTCCACACAACGACTGCGAGACTCACCTCTTCCGCCGAGGGTTTCTCGTTGAAGACGTCCCTGCCGTTCTCCCCATCGTCGTCCTCAACCGGGTCTCTCTTGGAGAACATGTAGAACCTGACCAATGACATCATCTCACTACATTCAGACAGAGTGCGACCAACTCCTGTTGTTGATGTAGTTGTCGTTGCTGTTGTGGTCGTTGTTGTCATTTGCTGCTGATGGCACCGCTACTGCTTGTCTTTCCATCTTCAAACGCTTCAAGAAGACGTACGCGGTTCAGCGCTGCTGAAGGAAAATGAAGCTGCTGCTGCAGCAGCAGCAGCAACTACAGCAACATGGTATACCGTAACAACGATCACCACATAATCAGAGCTATCGGTATCCGTGTGCCGCAGCAAACAACGTGCACCTGTTCTTGTCGAAGCCCGTGGCGATGACGATTGGGTCCGGTATCTTGGTCTTGTTTATCTCTTCCGCTGTTCGAGACTTGGTTTCTCGTGCCAGGAGCATCTGGGTGTCGATCTTCGCTGTTCCCTGTGGACGGCAAGGGGCAATCATCATCCATAAATTACTTGTGACTGTTGCTGTAGTAGTAGTAGTTGTTGTTGCCGGAAAGCTCTCGAGGAGACGATCCCAACGCCGCCATTTTCGGCACTGCCGCTGTTTCGACTGCCAATTAATCTAGCTTTGATAGTTGGTCAGGGGGTGCAGTACGTAATGCAAGGCACGGTTCACTCCTGCCGCTCCCCATTGTTGGATAGGCCTACTCCACGACAATGAAAAATGATGAGGCCTACACGAGCGCTGTGTTACCGTGAATTTTTTCCAGTAACTTTCTCCTGGCCCATAAAAGAGCTGCTTGAAAGAAGCGCACTTTCAAAACCGAAGACTATCATGTACTCCCCCCGTTTCTAGGCCCGCTACATGGTTATACGAACTGATACCCCCGTTCGAGCGTTTGTTTGCCGTGAGAATTTGCCAGTAAGGTTCTTCTTGCCAGGACAAGAGTCGCTCAAAGGAATCGTATATTCAAACGGAAGATTATTATTTACTCCCCTGCGTGTAGGCCCGCTACATGGTAATACACACTGAATAGTTATCGTGAGAATCTTCCAGGAAGCTTCTCCTTGCCTGGAAAAGAGTCGCTTGGAGGAAGCGCACGTTCTCATGCCTCCCGAGCACCCTCGAGACTCTGTTGGTCACCAGGTTCACCACCTTGATGCCCAGCATGGTACAGTAGATAAGGAAGTGCCCGCTTTCATCGAAGATAGCGTTCTGCCTATCCAACGCGTCGGAAGCCTGGTTCCATGGAAACGAAAGACAGTGTTCGGAAGGTGCGCATGTGTGTGATTCTCGAACCCGCGTTTTGTCTGTCCAAGGCGTCGAAAGCCTGGCTCGATAAAAAACAAGAAACCCGTGTTTGGGAGGGATGGCTCTCGTCGAAAACAGGGTATTGTCTGTCCAACGACCCGGAAACCTGGTTCAATCCAACCCGAGAAAAGCGTGGTTGTTTGGGCGGGGGGGGGGGGGGGGGGGGGGAAAAGGAAACGAAAAAAGCCCTCAAAAAAAACCCCCCCGGGGGCAAAAAAAGCGGGAAAACCCTGAAAAATCCCCCCAAAAAAAAAAAATGCCCGTACTTTCCCTTTGTCTTTTATGCCCCCAAAAAACCCATTTTAAACGGTTGTTGTTGCCCTTTCCGTTTCCTTCCTTCCCAAAAAAAAAAAAATGAAAAAAAAAAAAAGCTGGTGGGGGGGGCCAAATCCCCCGAAAGGGCCCATGGATGGGGTAAAAAAAATTACAAACAAAAAGGCAAAAAAAACAAACAACCCCAGGGGCCCCACAAAAAAAATAAAAAAAAACCCGGGTTTGGGTTTCTAAAAACCCGG